TCCCACCCTCCTCAGCCCCCCGTTTCCCACCTTTCCGACCAGCTGGACGATCTCCGCCAGCTCCTCCTCCTCCTGCAGGATCTCCCTGGCGCGGCGCCGCAGGGCGGGGAACTCGGGGTGCAGCCCCTCGTAGTGGGGCTCCAGCGCCCGCAGGTACCGGCTGTAGCTGATGAGCCAGTTCACCGAGGGGAAGTGCTTGCGCTGCGCCAGCTTCTTGTCCAGGCCCCAGAAGACCTTGGGGAGGGGACACCGGGGGGTCAGAGGGGGCTGCACCGGGGTGGGAGGGTCCCCATGGGTGTCCCCAGTGTCCCCCCAGCGATAGCACCCATGGGCACCCCCATGTCCCCTGGAGATGTCCCCACAATTATCCCCTGGAGATGCTACACCTGGGTACCTCCTACCTCCTGTCCCTGGGGATGTCCCCATGGATGTCCCCAGTGCCCCCCAGTGATACCACCCACAGGTACCCCCATGTCCCCCAGAGTTGTCCCCAGTGTCCCCTGGCAACGCCAGACCCCAGCACCCTCTTACCCCTGGAGATGTCCCCATGACTGTCCCCAACATCCCCTAGAGAAGCCACCCCCAGGTACCCCCTGTGTCCCCTAGAGATGTCCCCACAGTTGTCCCCTGGTGATGCCACCCCCTGGTACCTCCCTACCCCCAAAGATGTCCCCATGGTTGTCCCGTGGAGATGCCACCCCTGGGTACCCCCCATGTCCTCCAGAGACGTCCCCACAGCTGCGTCCTCTGGAGATGCCACCCCCTGTACCCTCTACCCCTGGGGATGTCCACATGGTTGTCCCCTGTGTCCCCTGGTGCTACCACCCCCTGGTACCCCCATGTCCCATGGAGATGTCCCCACGGTTGTCCCCATGTCCCCTGGAGATGCCACCCCCATACCCTCTACCCCCGAAGATGTCCCCATGGTTGCCCCCCGTGTCCACTCACCTGCACGATGCCCAGCGTGGCCGAAGTGACGGGGTCCGAGAAGTCCCCTCCTGGTGGGGACACGCTGTGGGGGAGACACAACACACAAAGCACAGCAGGGCATTGAATTGGGGGGTCCCCCACGCCACCCCCCAACCCCAGGACCCCCCAACTCACGCGCCGACGATGCTGACGCTGCCCTCGCGCCGGGGGGACCCCAGGCACCGCGCTCGCCCCGCGCGCTCGTAGAAGGAGGCCAGGCGGGCCCCCAGGTAGGCCGGGTACCCGCTGTCTGCGGGGTGGGGGGGACACACACACCATCAGGGTCCCACCGGAGCCCCTCATCGCGGCCTCGGGGACCAGGGAGGGGTGTCCCCGTCCCGGGAAGTGGGGTGCTCACCTGCCGGCATCTCGGCCAGGCGCCCCGAGATCTCGCGCAGCGCCTCGGCCCAGCGGGAGGTGGAGTCGGCCATCATGCTGACGTGGTAGCCCATGTCGCGGAAGTACTCAGCCAGCGTGATGCCTGCGCCGGCGGCACGTGGCTCGCACACGCGTGTGGCCACGGGGCGGGCACACGAGGCCGGGGAACCTTTCCGCTCGTGGCCACCAACCTCGCGTGTGCGGCCACCAACCTCACACACATGGTCACGGACCTCACACGCATGGTCATGGACCTCACATGTGGTCACAGACCTCACACACGTGGTCACGGACCTCACACGTGTGGCCATGGACCTCACACACGTGGTCATGGAACTCACACATGGTCACAGACCTCAGACACATGGTCATGGACCTCACACGTGTGGCCATGGACCTCACAGGCATGGTCACGGACCTCACACATGGTCACGGACCTCACACACGTGGTCACGGACCTCACACGCATGGCCACGGACCTCACACACATGGTCACAGACCTCACACGTGTGGCCACGGACCTCACACATGTGGCCACGGACCTCACACACTCGGCAGGAGCCCGTGGCCACCCCGTCTGTGCAACCCCTCCACCCCCGTGCACGTGGCTGGGCACACTAGTGGTCTCATGGTGTAGGTGAACACGTGTGAATGCTCACACGTGTCGTGCATGCTCACGCATACAAGCTCACACATGCCCTGTGCACTCACATGTGCTGTGCACGCTCACATATACGCACGCTCACACATGCTGTGCACACTCACGCATGCCTTGTACACTTGCACGGGCTGTGCACGCTCACATGTGCCATGCACGCTGGCATGTATGCAGACCCACACATGCCCACACATGTTCACACCTGTCCTGCACACTCACACATGCTGTGCACACTCACCCTCTGCACGCTCACACACCCTCTGCATGCTCACACAAGCCCATGCACACTCACACACGTGCTGTGCACACTCACACATGTCCATGCACACCCAGCCATGCCCTGTGCACGCTCACTCGTGCCCCGTGCACACCCACACCCACACTCACACCCACCCCCCCCTCCATGGGGGTCCCCCACCCACCGGTGTAGATGGAGGCCTCGCGGGCGGCCACCGGCATGTTAGAGGTGTTGGCCACCAGCGTCGTGCGCTTCATGATGGTCTCCGTCCTCCCGTCCACCTCCATGGTGAGCTGGGGGAAAGGGGGGGACACACCTCACCGTCACCCCCCCGGCCACTGCTCCCAATGTCCCCCCCGACCCCCCGTGTCCGTCTGTCCCTGTCCCCACCTCGGGGAAGTCCCTCAGGACCTCAGACATCTCGTTGCCCCTCTCTCCGCAGCCCACGTAGACGATGACGTCGCTGTTGGAGTACTTGGAGAGGGACTGGGAGATGACGGTTTTGCCGCAGCCGAAGGCCCCCGGGATGGCCGTGGTGCCCCCCTGCACACACCTGGGGACGGGG